AGATGCGGCCGCTTCTGGGAATAAGCATTTTGGCGCTAGCTCATGTGAGCATCGAACTGAGAGTTAGCTGCAAGTCTGACAAGCACTGGTCAATCATTGCATGGGGCATTGTCCAGAGAACGGGGCTTGAACTTGCAGATCACCAAACACTGCGTCCCAAGTATGCAGAGTCCTGAAACGGACCTTGAATGTGTGGAAGCAATTCATTATTCCAGTGATTCCATTTTGTTGTCACAACGCATGGGCAACTTTCTCTGTGGAATTGGCTTCTTTGGCACGGTACTCCACCCACATCTACTGAGCTAGCACGAAGCTTGAAGACAAATGTTCAACCATCAGACATGTTAGCTCGAAGTGGTGGTGTGTTGCCACAGCTGTGTTGCACCTGGACCGAGCCATCTCTCCGTGCAGCAAAGAAGAGCATCTCGGATTTATTTGATGAATCGAAGGTCTTGGGCGGGGCTCATACTGGCAGCCTTTGCTCTCAGTCGCAGCTGTGCATGGCTTGGCGTGGGTCGTCGATTGCTGCTTGCATCGGCGCTTGTACCAACCGCATCCATGGCTGACAGCAAGCTCCCAGGTCCCAGCAAAGTTCCTGGAGCTCCGCGAGTGATGCAGTCTCAAATCACATATCCCGAATTCATTCGCATGGAGGGCCCCACAGGAGATTTCAGCATCAACATTCCCACCCGTTGGAGGGCCCAGTTTGATGATGCGCCGGGGCGGCTGGTGTATGCTGTAGAGAATAATGCTGGCTTTAACAGCGCGACTCTTCAGGTTGCTCGAATTTCACTGTCACGCCTTTCGATCAGTGCAGGTTCCACTCCGGCAGATTCCCAAACCAGCGATTGGCGTCAGGTAGTTCGAGGTAATATCACTGAAGCAGATGTGGCTCAGGCCCTGATGCTTCTTGCTCAGCAAGGACTCAGTACTGCCAGAGAGTCCAGTGCCGAAACTTCTGTAATTGACACCGAGATTGAGGCACCTGAAGCTGGTGCAGATGCCACGTCCCTCCTATGGAGCGCTAGGTCTGCCGTGCAAGATTTCCGCGAGAGTCGCATCATCAGCGGACGAGCCTTGCTGCGACAGGGCATCGTGGTTTTTGCTGTGTCGACGGGATCGGAGCGCTTCGGGGCCGTTTCGGGCAGTATCAGCTCCAGTGGCTTCGGCTGGGAGTTTAACAATCGTCTGGTGCGGAGCTTGAGACTGAGAAGACCTCGCTAGAAATCTGAAAAGAAGAGCCGCAAGCTTTCCTTAATGTTTGTCATAATATGGTTCCCTGTACTTGTGTAGTAAGTGGAACGGTAGTTCAAAAACTTGGTCTTGGTAAGCCCACAATACTACATTCTCCACGATGCAGATACTTGCTAGGCAGCATCACTCATGCGTACCTCACAGAACCAGGTCTGCCGTTTCTGACCCCCAAGTGGCCCAGAAACCTGCCAACTGTGTTCGGAATCCTCTTACTTATACTCTGCTACAACACACAGTTGTTAGCTTAATGTTCCAAATCTGGACTGGAGAAGCTGCTTATATTCCCACGTTAGGGTAGCTTAGCTTGAGATCCTTGAATCCCCACATGACCCCAATCTCTACTTTGTGTCAACTTCTCTTGTCCACTTGACACTCCATCGTTCCCTTAGCCCAAGACTCTATAAATCCCTAGACGCCCGATATTGCCCTGTATTTTACCCTATCTAACCGACGCCCAGAACCATATACTGCTGCCAGGTTCGCATCATCCAAGTGAACCCGGCCAGGAATCGGATGAAATTGTCCATGCTGCCCCAGGAGGAGAGCTTGCGGTTAGCTCCAAGTGACACCACGCAGGTAATATTTCTAGTCACAGCATTTAAGGCCTAATGTTAGATATGATTTCTATATTTAGAGAAGGAGACTTTGTTAGGATTTAGGAGCTCAGTGGGACTTAGCTTGAGAAGTCTGAAGTTTTTCGAACTGATGGTTTGGGGGGGTGCTCCACTTAGGAGCTTACCCTGGCAATCTTCTTCATTCTTCTGGGCGGGTGTATCAAACTGGCCTCGAATCAGAATGAACTTCTAACGAAGATGGATTTAATCAGACATTGCAGATTGTTTACTTGTCTGCCTTGGACCCAGTTGCGTTCGAGGGATGTGATATGCTCTAGCTAGCTAGCAAATGCTCATTCCGGTAGATTCTGCTTTCTTGCGCCGGCTGCCTTTCTCGCATCAAGACCTTGGTGCGGCTACAGGATAGCAATGCCCTTGGTATACCGGTTGGGTGCACCTTTCACCCCCTGCCCGGTAGTAGTCACTGTAAGGTATAATAAGCATTATATTCGTGTCCCATTATGTTCCTAGTGTACCACTCTTACAGGGCGGAAGGTCGACGTAAGGCATACTTTGACCCTTGCACCAGGAAGTACCACAGGAACGGTCCGTGCAGAGGCCGGTGCATGTTCACCTTTGCAAGGACTACTGCTCCTTAAGGGTTCACAATCTCGGTAGCTGTGGAAGCTAGGAATGTTGTATCATACCCTCCACTCTTAGAATCTGTCCCTTCAGTTTTGGGCCTGTAAGCCTAGTTGCACAAACTGCTTAGGCTCAGGCTTTCGGAGGTTGTCCGTATTCGGGGCTCCGGGCCCCTGAACCTGCCGAGGTCTCAAGAAGCCGCTAGTTTGCCCGATCTTTCTTTTTGGGATCCGCGTTCTTCCGCAAGGATGATTGAACCTGAATGGAGGGGGGTTGTAATTTTGCTTGTAGGCTCTGTGCCTCCTCCCTTCTGGGTGTCTGATTGTGGAGCGGTTCTACACAGTATCATGATATCCCCGCATCTCTAAACGCTCGTGCTTCAAGACCGGGTGAGTTCATATATGGAAGTTGCCAAAAGCAGCTGTCTCCCTTATAAATACACACAGTGGTGCTTGTTCTTCTGGCTCCCGCGGAGGGACACGGAACTTCCGGAAACCAGGACACGCCGTAGCAAGCTGCGCAGTATAAGTACCTTTGAGATTCCAGGTGCTGTCCCAGACAGACCTGAACTCCAATCCAAGATCCAAAGCCCTAAACCCTATAAGCTCTAAAGCCCAAAACCTCAACGCCAAGCCCATGTAATCCCCGAACACCTGAACCCCAAACTCGCAGCTCCAAAATTGTAATCCACGCTCTCAGGCCTCCGCCACAAGCGCCGAAGCCAGGGCGCCTGGTGGAAGACTTGAAGCCATTTCGCACCCTCATAGGCCGGGGGTTTAGGATCTAGGGTTTAGTATTTAGGGTTCAGGGGGTGTGAGGAAGGACATTGGTACCCCGAGGACCAGGGAGCTTAGTAAATAGGCTAACGATGGGTATAGCTGGGGTATGGCTTACATGGGATTAAAAACATACTTTGCGAAGTCCCCCTGACCCTAAGACTGAGTATAAAGCAATGGAAGTGTGCTAGATACCTAGACCCTCCTTCTACCCTCTATATACCCTAAATAGGGACCATATACCCATGTTTAAACGGTACAAGGAGGGTCCTGGTTAGCCAGGAACATGAGTGAGAGAGGTGCCAGCCTTCAGACCGTGGGGCATACACATCTCTGGGCTCGACTTGACATTTTCATTGCTGCGCCCGCTTTGACCTTCAGATACCTCAGGGGGATCCCTAAACCCCAAATAGTGTTCCGTCATCCCAATATAACCACAACATAACCCCAATATTGCCCCAATGGGTGGGCCGAACTCTTCCGCTCAAGGAGCATACGTCCAACATTGTCCCATCACGTTGGTGGCTGTCGTGCCCTGACCATGAGCTGACGCTCTTAAGTCGTATCAACCCTGTACAGGACCAAGGAGACAAGCCTGAAATCTGCGAACTCTAAACCTCTAAACCACCCATTGGGGTAACATTAGGGTTACATTGGGGTTATATTGGGATTATGGAAAATACACTGGAAACTACTATTTAGGGTTTAGGGTTTAGGCCTACATGCCCTGCGGCTCCAGAACCAGCTCCGGCCCGATCGGCTAGGGAGCCTTACGCCATGCTAGATGCCTTTGCAGAACCTGAAAATGAACAAATGACCTAGACCCTCCTTCTACCCTCTATATACCCTGAATAGGGACCATATACCCATATTTAAAGGGTACGAGGAGGGTCCTGGGATACACTTCCCACAAAAAGCAGGGTAAAACAGCATGATAAGCAATTGCTCCCTGTTCCATGGCCCCTAAAAGCATAAACCCTGATGCCCTAATCTGGTCGGAAGGCCAATGGTTGCCCGGCGTAGTGAAGCAGCTTCGCCGAAATGGTGTCCAGGCAAGATCTCCCCCAGAGAGTTTGGGGTTTATAGGGTTTCGGTTAGGACTCAGGGTTTAGCGTTGAGGGTTCTGGACGCTGTGAGTTTGCCCTTGTGGTGAGGAACGGCTTCGTGTGTTTTCTGGGGGAAGGTAGGGTTGTGTAAGGATTCTTTGAGGTGAGAGCATGACAGGGAACATGGAGGGTTTCTCAATATTTCTGGTATTTTTGGGATTGCATAGGTTTGCTTGTTCTAGTGCCCATGGAAGGCTTACAGGGCGGCTATCCACATCCCTGAAGATTTCAGCTGTACGACCGCAACAAACAACTGAGCATCAGAAGAGCGAGGACCTCCCAGGAATGCACAGCAGGAGGTTTCTGGGCCGCTGAGGAACTTAGCCCGGGTAGCTCCAAATCCAACCTTGGCAGAAGGCTTTGCTGCAACCTTACGCATCGCAGGGCTAGGTCTGTTCAACCACTATACAGGCAGGTGATGGGGGGCGGTTGTACCTGGACCCTGTATGTCCCTGCTTTTTAAGGTTCTGTCCTACATAGTTATAAGGTCTATCCCCGAGAGGGGTAGGACATCCAGGGTCCACGTAAAGTTGTAAAGGACGCCATGTTGAGACCAATGCGGCTTTCGGATGCCTTGCGTTATTCTTCTCATGAGGCTTCTGTTTGAGCTACGGACTAAATTTAGTTTGGGTGGGGACCTNNAGGGGATATTTAGGGGGGTATAGGGCAACGTATTTGAGGGATATACTACAATACTACAACGTCCAGGGCGCATGTGTAACGTAGACTGTGTTCTCTTCGCTTGGCAGTTAGCTGACTGGTTAATATGACCCGGCTCCTGAAAAGAAGCATCAGGCATCCTGAGGCTATTTTGCACCACAGCCTTACGAAGTAAAACTTCTGGTCCAATTTCCGTACATTTCTGAACCATGAGCCGTTTCTGGGGTGTTTTAGATTTAGATGGGACGTTTAACCCTGAACCCGGGCAACGGCAGTCAAAACTCTCTCTTGAAGCAACTTGGCAGCCTCTCTGCTCCCGATGAAGGTTTATGTGCCCCTGGCCAAGGTCCCACAGAGTCCCCATTCAATCGCCAGGATACTATCCTTTCGTACCCCGAAGCCCAGATCCTGCAGGTGGCAGTGGTGTCCAAAACGGGCGCCTATGCCGTAGGCACGGTCTTCATGAACCAGTTCCTTGGTGCATGTCTGATGTTGCAGGAGGCATGGTTTCAGTTTTCTTGGTAAACACTTTAGCGCTGGGACGAGGCATAGGTTTGAGTTAAGCGGTGCGTCTTTGCTGACGACCACCAGAACGGACAATTAGCAAGCAGCAAAGAGGTCATTCTAAGAAATGGGCCCCTACTTGTCTTTGTCTCCTTTATTAATTCGGCGCTCTCTAGAAGAGGTGCTCAGCTGCGGGGCGCTCACCAACCGAACCTCCTTTTTGGGCTAGGTGAGGGCTTGCAGTATTTCCAGAAGCCAAATCAGAAGCCCGAAAACAACAAAAAAATAAGTTCACATGAGAAGGCTTGTGAAGCTGTAGCTTTCTGGTCTTTTGCAAGGATTTGCGATCTGTCTTGGAGGGCTGAGGCAGGTCTGCCAGGGCCAGGTAGGCAGTGATATGCCGTTTGTTTGTTTGTTTTTTTTTTTT